TGGCCTTATAATTCCGTTTGGTTTAGATTTCAAGGTTAAAATAAATTAATATTATGTATTTATTATACGATATAATTTTTCCATTCATACATCGACTAATATTTAACTCATATTTACAGGCCTTAGCCTTGATATAGCAATTTTAATCCAATTTATAAGACTATTCCTTACGACAAAACAAAGTTACAAAGAAGGTTATATTAGTTTACCTCATCATATTTCTGATGATGAAATTGTATCGGAGGAACATGATCAGCCGAATCATCATAAAAATGATTGTCATCTTAAACATGTGCTTTTATTACCTCTTGCAGCGTTTTTCCATGTAGCAGGAAATGTTTTATATACTGTCTTTTTGACTAATGCACTTGCGTAAGTTATCTATATTACTATTATCTATATTACTATTTTCTATCTTAAACTTTTTTTTTGATAAACTCCTTCTCATTTTATACGTCATTTATCATTATAGAGACTATTTATTTGTCTTCAGCTACGGCTTCGCGTATTCTACATTCGCTTATTTTGTGTATTTAGATACTCACTTGAAACCAAATAAACCAAAAAAACATCTCCTTTTACCTGACACCACTGCCCCAAGTGTTATTTTAGTTACAATCGCTTCGGTAACGCTTTCAATTTTGTTTATTAGGCTTGGTGTACTTTATGTAGAAGGCATGTAGTTAAAACATTTATGTATACAAGTTGTATTATCCCATATTTTGTTGAATATTCTTTTTTTTTGGCAAATAAGATTTAGGTGCATTTACTTTGTATATTTTATTTTACATATCATTTATATTGTTTATAAATAAAACCTTTTTAATTTTCGAACAAAGTAATAATAATAATGCCAAGTAAAATTCTATTTCAACTCAGGTGTACCGCACCCTAACCATTTTAATATTAATCAAGGAGCCCTAATTTCCCCACCAGTTGTGATTGGATGCATGAAATACCGTCTTCAATTGGATAAACTAGATCATACATCTTAGTGCAGCAAAAACATCGTTTTAGTTTTTCAATAAAAAAAATAAAAAAAATTCGAAAAAATTCAAAATAATTATTAAGCAAAAGTATTTATTTATTCAATTCCAAAATTCTTTCTGCTACTGTAGTAAAAAAAAAAAAAAGAAAATCGAAATACTCTAAAAAATAATGAAAATTACACAACCAAGAAATTTTATAAAGTCTTTTGTTGAGACCTACGTTTACAAACTTGTAATTTTAAAAATACCAACTCTGTTTTAAAATTCCTTAATTATATCCTGGCCGCGATTTTACTTTTATTTAAAAATAATTGACGCGAACATTTGAAATATATTAAATTCATTTTTATTGGTACTATTACAATACCGCAAATAAATAAATGCTACTGCAAATTGCTAATTAATGGATTTTTTTTCAATACTAAAACAATAATGTACTCAAGTTTTCAAAAGCCATTTTTCCAAAAGAAAAATAATTAGTCAGTATTATATTCTTTCGGAAAATAGCTTTCAATAGTACTAATTTGCTAATTAGAAATGTTGAAAATAAATGTTATTGAAGCATCTGATATGAAATATGAAAACGATGATTCAGAATTGCCAAATGATGCTGGTATTTCTCAAAATGAAGAAGAAACTCAGCAGAATACTACGGCAAAATTGGAAAGCAACTCAACAAATAATGAAATAATTTGTGGTTATGTATTTTTCTTCGAAAAATTTAGCAAAATTGCAAACAAAATAATTGAAATTCCATTCAAAAACCCTTCCAATGAACTTTTCCAATGTTGTTATTTGAAAAGCGACAACTCCACCTAGTAACAATCGATCAACATAATGGATCTTTTTATTCAGCAATGGTTAAAATTACTCACTACTAAGTTGTTAATTAATGTAAAATTTTCATACACTTACAAAAATAAAACAAGCAAAACAATAAAAAAATACTTATTTTGTTTTCAAATTTTCGAATAGTATGATTCAAAAAAGTAGGTATAATGGCGAAAATTTATTTAAACGTTCACACAAAATTATTACTAAAAAAAAAAACTTGAAAATGCTATAATCCAGTGTTGGCATTTGGACTAATTAAAATAATATGGACAAAATATGGACATAGTCATTTTTTAATTGAACATATATATTTGGACTATGTCCAAATTTTTTCAAAAATATGGACATAGTCCAAATGCCAACACTGCTATAATCCAAAAAAGCAAAACGTTAGTGTTAACGAAATAATCATTTAAAAAGAAAAAAATTTTTATCAATGTAATCATTGCGAAAAGTAATTTATTCTTTAATTGCGGCGCCTGATTAATGATACAATTGGGTTCGTCCAATGGAAAATGATATTTGCATTCGTCCAATGGGAAGTGGTGGGGGGATTAGTAAACCCGGAGATTAGAATGATTTGGGTGAAATTATAGTTTTAGGCGAAACTTTTTCCGTATTATGACGAAAGACGAAACAAACGCATCGTAATTGGGGCTGTTAATCGGTTCGTCCAGTCTGTCCTGGTCCAAAGACTGACGGTCTTTTAAAAGGTGGACCGGACTGCGGACCAGGACTGGTTAGGACCGATCAGTATGAGACTGGACGGACCGATTATTAGACCAATTAAATGAATTAAATGCTACATAAGTTGCATCAACATATTGTATATTATATATAAATTATCTGGCATTCCTCATTAAGTCGCTTATTTAGGTTATAAATTTAACCGGAGATATTACGTAATATATTTTAGGACATTCTCCCCACGTAAGATGTATTAGCTAATCAAAAGAAAGTATAATATATATTATATATACTACGTAAGATCTTGATTTACATAATATCTGTGAGTCCCATAAGTATAAAATTATTTGCTAATCAAAGTATTCGAAAACAATATATGCACTTATTATTGTTTGGTCGATAAACTATCTTTTATTCAAGTCGATTCAGTCAATATTATTTGTTAATTAATTTCTTATTTATGCTGATTATGATTCTTATAACTCGATTTTCTGAAATATATTTACAAAGTGTTGATTATAAAATTTAGTTTTATCTGAACTCAAGATGCATGGTGCCCTGCTTACACTTATACTGTATATTATAATAGTGCTCATAATCTAGACTCAACAAATCACAAAAAATTAGGCTATATATGTTCGTTACAATATTTTATGCTATATTAAGACCGATAGTCTTTTTGGTCCGTCTATAAAAGACCAGACTGGCTCAGTCCTAAGACAGAGCGCAAGACCGGGTTTTAGTCGAACTGACTAACAGCCCTAATTATGTACATGATCTAAATTTAATATGTCAGGTCAAATATCGCAAAATCCAGAATCAGGTTGGCTTAAAATTTTAAACCGTTTAATTTCTAGATTAGTGATACGGGTCGATGAAAAAATTATGGGCCGTGATTGATCCTAAAAAAGATCGGGTCGATCGACCGGGCCGAACTTTTTTTGCTAATATAAATTTTTTTTTTAAATAAGAATTAGTCTCGATATCTATATCATAGAAAGCCATCAGGTAGTTCCTTGTCAAATTCTACTATATCAAAATCATTTAGTTTTTATTCTTTTTGTCGTTATGTTGATTAATTGTCTCTGCACCTGACATGTCAGGCATTTCTATTCATATATTATTTGTTTGTTGATTTATCACCTAAATTACCCAACTTACATTTTTGTTAATGATTAGCCATTTTTTTAGCCAGTATAAGATAATCGATTCTAACTTTTATTTTATCGACCGGTCTGGCCCACAAAGGTGCAGTCCGAGGGTCAACCCGCCCATCGACCAGGGACCCGTAAAATTTTAGTTTTAAAAACTCAAGATTTTTTCTGATAACAATAAAAAATTTAGCAAATTTTGATAAATTTCGATTTAAATTTAGTAAATTTTAGATAGATTTTGATTTAAATTTAATAAATTTTAGAAAAGTTTTACAGTTCATTCTTTTATTTTGTTAAAATACTTAATAATTCAACATTTAAATTTTGCCGATTGTTATTAAATATAAAATTAGGAACTAAGTCACATAAATTTATGTCTCTAGATCACGGCATCAATATCCTAATCATATACTGTATACCTTAGAAGTTAAATAAGTTAAGTTTGTATAAAATTTTTATTAAAAATAAAATACGTATAACTAGGGATAAGCAAATCAAATATTTTTTGAATCTACTGCGGCCCACATTATAGTTTACTACTAATGCAGGCTAGAATTGTGGAATTCAGAAATGTTTCGAAATTCCGAAATGTTCCACCTGCGCAGCATCCCATTCCTATGTATCACAAACTATAATATAATAAGGAAATTTTTAGAAAATTTTAGTTAATTTTAGATATAAATTCATCAGAATTTAAAAATTTTAGAAAATTTGACACTTGAAATTTTAGATTTTTTGTGAAAATTTTAGATCTAAAATTTTACGGGTCCCTGCCATCGACCCGGCCATTGGGCCAGCCCGTATCACTTAGATACTTTCCCGTTCCTGGTTTTGCGCGATGACGTCGCGCAGCTACCTTATTAAATATTTTATCTATGTACACGATCTAAATTTAATATCAGATCAAACATCGCAAAATCGCAGAATCGGGTTATATTTTATATAATTATCTACAGTCGACCCTCTCAGAATCGGTATGCATGGTGGACAGGTTTTGTATCAGTTTTGAGAGGTATCGGATTTGAAGACATAACAAACTATTAGATTTATATAACGGGAACGGACTTGGTAGACCAATTTTTTATCGGTTTTGACAGGTTATCGGTTTTGACAGGATCGGGTTTGAGAGGGTCTACTGTATTACAATATTAGGACCGACGGTCCTTTCGGTCCGTCCCAAAAAAGACAGGACCGGCTCGGTCCTAAGACGGACCGGCGGTTCATCGATTTGAGTCGGACCACTTAACATCCCTAGTGATAACTTATTACCGGAACCTAAATATCTTCCAGTTTCATCTAGTTTGATCCAGCAATCCTTCCCATTCCAGTAGTCTCAATGGCCCGTTCTAGTAACAACACTGACATACAGGGCGCTGGAGCCACGTGCACATTCTTAAGATATTACACCAATTACATACCATATCTATAGGTAACGTGACACTTAGCACAAAATTTATTGGTGATACGTATGTACATATAAACCTATTAATGCATACGTACATACAATAACATTTCTTAATTTTTACTTGCTGATAATAGCATTAATAACGAAGAGTATACAACTTTCGATTTATTGCTTGAGACACATGTATTAAAATGTTTATTAATATTGCTTATATAATTATCTTTTAATAATAAACAAATTATGTTGACTTATTTTTTAATGTTTAAAGGGATACATTAAACGATAATGAAAGAATTATTCGGTTTGAACTTGTGAAAGAATACTTAGAAAAAGCACAAGTTATAGTGAAAAAAGGAAGAATACAAGACAGAGATGAACATGTAATACAAATTAAAAGAAGCAAAGACCTTAATCCTAAAGAAAAAAGTTTTTGCCTCGAATATTTAAGAGAACTTATTGTAGAAATGAATTATTCTCAACGTATTCAAATAACTCAAGATCCTAGAAGTGATAAATATTTTATTAAAGCTTATACATATGAAATGAAAATTGTTAAAAAAATTAATAGATGTACACGATGTTATTCAAACTTATCTAATGATGAGCACTGCCTTTGTGTTGTTTTATGTTTGTTAAATAATTCAAAACCATCTGGAAATGAGTTTATTGACAAATTTATGCAGAATTATTATATGAGTCAGGAAATTAGAAGATCTGCATTAGAATATGTCATTGAATGGATTCCTTATGAATTTCTGACGGGTGTCAAATATATTTCAAAAGGCGGATTCGGATCTCTATATTCTGCAACATTGGCTAATGGGTGGATTACTGGTTGGGATGAGGAGGCTCAACAAATTATAAGGACTGGGCCAAAAATTGTTGCTTTAAAATTAATAAACGAGTTAAATGAACAAGATAATAAGGTTCTTGAAGAGGTGAGATACAATTTAATACTGTATTTAAAAAACATATTCAGTTTTTATATATATTTATGTTTTGCATAATTTTGTAGGTAATATCTAATGTCAAATTTTCGTCTCAAGGTTCACACGGAGTTAAATGTTACGGAATGACAAATTTTCCAGAAAGAGAAAAACTTGCATTTCTTTTGGATTATATGGAAAATGGAGATCTTAACACCTTGTTGAAACGTAAAGATAATAATTTAACTTGGAAGGATAGGTTTACTTTACTTAAAGAAATATTTCAGCAACTTAATCAAATTCATAACAACAAAATGGTACATAAAAATCTTCATCCAGGCAATATACTTTCTAATTCACAAGGATGGTTTATTAGTGACTTTGGATTTCATGGTCCCTTAGATGGAAAAGTAACAAAGCAAATTATTGGAGTGTTGCCATACATTGCACCAGAAGTATTATATGGATCAGAGTATACGCAAGCATCAGATATATATAGTATGGGGATGATAATGTGGCAGCTTATAGCTAGATGTTATCCATTCTGTAGTCGTAAATACGATATTCAACTTGCAAGAGATATTTGTAATGGGCTCCGACCAGAAATTACTCTAGGTTTACCTCAAGAATATCAAGAAATTATGAAAAGTTGTTGGGATGCTAATCCATTAGAAAGACCAACAGCTGAAATGCTTTTTCAAAATTTTAATGTAGATCTTGAAAAATTGTCTTGTGGTGAATATGTAATACCAGAATTAGGAAACATGTTTAGCCGATCGCATTTTCATGTACCTAATGAAATTTCAAGCATAATTCATGAGTTTGTAAATCTTCCTGAGCCTAAAAATGAAACAAATTAGGTAAGCTTAAATTTATCTTATAATTTTTAAGTGATATTCTCTAATCTATACATATTATAAGATCGAATACATGAAGTACCGTACCTCACACAAGACAACTATGTAATCTTCCTCTATCTCATATCCATTGTTAAATGAATTTCAATAGAGTAAGAAAAAAAACTTTTTAATAATGATATTAAATGATTAGACTAGAGAATTTTTATGCTACATAAGTTCATACATATTTGTAGAGTATAAATAATTACATATTTGAGGGTTGTTTTGACTATATGCTTAGATCAGTATATAATCATCAAAATGCGAACATAAAAATATTTAATTGGTTATAAATTATAAAATTTTTAATTATAATATAATAAAGATGCAGGCAAATCTGCAAAGAAATTATTCATAGTGTTAAATTAATTAAAGAATTACCCATTAGTTATAGCATTAGCAGAAAACTGATGAATAATTGTGATTAGTAGAAGTTTATATAAAAAAGAAAGATTCAAAAAATTTATCAAATCAGTAAAAAATTCGATCTAAAAGAAGAGAAATCAACGGAAGACAATAAACCTAATAAGTTTGTTTAAATTTTTTTTTAAATTTTTATTTTTGTAATTTTTTCTTTTTAAACATAGAGCACGATGGAGTGGTACAGACTCATGGATTCCGGAACCTTACAAGAAATTTTTTATTAAAAGCCAAAAGAGATCCTTTGTTAGAGAATTTTTGCAAAGTACATATACTAATACTTTACCTCTTTAGATCAAATCGATGAAATATTTTATTTTAATTATACAGCCATATAGATTCAGAGTAAAAGTTTATTTTTAAAAATACTGTATAGACAAATTTAAGCAATAATAAATCATTTTAAATTAATGCATTTAGCTTTTTATTTATTAAGTTAAAATTTAAAATTTTTATAGTACTGTATTCTTCCAAAATTTGTATTCATATACGTAATATTTGAAATGATAATTTTTTATAATAAAATATTTAAAAGTCATTGCTTTTTTTTTTATTAAAAATCTAATAGTGCAATGACTATATTAAGCATTGTTGAAATTTATTCTAAAAAGATACTAATACATAATTTTGGTTTTAAGAATCTTGTTTTTACATTTTTATTTATAAAATTTTACTTACTTTCATAAAAATTTACATATTTTAAAATCTATTATATACAGTAAATCTATTTACAAATATTGAATAATAAAGCTAAAAATTTTTTATAAAACTTTTATTGCTTCAAGTTTAATTATATTAAACTTATTTATATCGATTTATAAGAAAAAATTAAATATTTGCTTAAAAAACAAAAGGATATTTAAATAAATTTACTTAAAACCACCTGTTTTAAAGAAAGGCCAAATTTTTTTAATCAATTTGAATTTAAATGTATTGAAAGAATTTTTTTTTATTAAAAAAATTACTATTAAATTATTATTTTCTTCTAACAATATTTTACATTAAAGGTCTGTTCTTATTTTCTAAAAGCATTTAAAAAAAGTGTTTTGAACATCATTGCATAAACACTTAATCAATTTTTAACATAATTAAAATTCAGTGCTATAATATTTTCCGTCACACTACTTTCATCAGAGTTCATTTATTTACCAATAGATTTGATGATTCAATATGCGATACCACACAATTTATAAACTTTTTCTTTGCATAAAAAACCGAGAAATTGTTTTCAACTTTTATACTACTTACAAAATATCACATCTATTCAAAAATAATTACTGTCAATTACTCATCACTCACTACTAATTGAGGTAGATTAAGCCCAAATCTAGTCATTACAGAAATAGTAATCGCAGTACTTAAAATATTAGCATAGATATTTGGTTTTAAATCTAAATAGTTGTTGGTTTTATAATAAAGGCGTAATATTCGGTATATACCAATTGCTGCAAGTTGTATTATGTCGAAGGCGAATAATAATATCTGATAAATAACTTCTCTCCTTTTTCTCTCATAAATAACTTCTTTTTTCTTTTTCATATATTTATTAGGAATTACCTCCTTACTAGGGGTTTCCAAAATTATAGAAAAAAGGTAATAATAAAATATAGACTCTGATATAATGTAATAAAGTCGAAAAAAGTGCACAATTATCTCTCGTATATTTGTCACAACAGGAACAAATAGACACTCTGTGTGATCAGGATTGCAATATTCACCTTTGCATTTTACAAAATCGAACATGTTGATGACTACTAAAAGAATTAACTCTGAAATGCGTAAGCCACTAATTATTAAGTGAAAGAATTTAAATTCTTTTGTTTTATACAGATGATAAACGGATTTACATCTTTCAAATGCTAAATGTAATAAAGCTGTTTTGGATATTATATAAAAGGCTGACCTAATGCTATCTGCTAAATAACACGATGTTACATAATAATTATCTAAACAAAAGCTTTTACAAGTAGGCCTTGCTATATAAAACCAATTTGAACATTCGGAACTAAAATTGTCTGGATCTGAACAATATGAAGATGCCACTATCATCATAAACGAAGAAAATTCGGCAATAAGGGCGGTTAAGTTCATAAGACAAAATAACCACATCTTATCTTTTATTGTATCATCAACTGTATCGATTATTAACATTCGAAAGAATGATTGAAAGGTAATAATAAGGGCCGCACCGACAAGCGATGCTGAAGTAACAATGAATTGAGCTGACTCCATTAAATTAATTATAATTGTTTTATATCGCCTTTGTGAAGGTAGAAATGAGTAAATTTATACATTTCTGCACTAATAAACTTGAAATAACGATATATTGCCTTATATTTACGCAGGCAATTCTCTAAATGCACAATTCCAAATCTATAAACCTCTGTTCGTAAATGCACGACTTTCCAAAATGCACGCTATTGAAAATTTTCCTTATACTTTCGAGGGCGCACTTTTGTACTACAGTAAAACGTATACTTTCCACTAAACTTTACCTTTTGAAAACATACTCCGACAACTAAATATATTTTTAGCTAAACAATAATTCTTTCTGTTGAAAAAGTTATAACCCTTAATCTTCTTAATTTATCTCATTATGGCCATACCATACTTGCACATGTGCACAAATTTCTAATTTGTTTTTCTTTTATCCATGATCCGCCACATTTCCATTTCGACTAAAAGGAGATTTGAATCACTAAATCCATTAAATCACGAAACATATAAATTGGGTAGCTGTGTAATGCCATCCACTAAACCAGGAATGTAGTCAACAATTTTTATAATTATACAAATAGATTGAACCACTACCCTATAAAAAAAATGGTCCGGGCGGTGTTACGGTTTGCACGGAGATATCCGTAATTGCACGTATATGTACGTTACATGTGTTTAAAATGATACGTATCGGTACGTTGTGCATGTGTAAGCTTTTTATACGGAATGGCACATATTCGGATAACACGTATAGACTCGTTCAGTGTTGGCACTGGACCTATTTTTATGCTATTGGACTGGGACTTGGACATATGTCTATTCCAATATGTAGAGATGGGCACGCGCGGGATTTTTAATATGATCCCAAATAAAATTATCCGGCGGCATTACAAAACTATCTGGCCGGCATTAATATAACATCTGGCTTGCATTAACTATTTAGGCAATTTCTAATTAATTTATTTATAATAAATGAAATAACTGATTCGAACAAGAAAATTAATTTTCAATAATAAATTCTGTACGGTTTTTTTTTTTATTACAGCTATTATCATAATTCCTGGGACATTTGTAAAAATTTACCGAATCATTTTTCAGCCGATCCGGTTAAGTTATTGATTCGGCATACCCGTATAATAATAATAAAATGATCATTTTACGATTGTCACAACAATAATGTCATGTCAACCAATAAACCTTAAAAAGAAGGAATCGAATATAAATTAGACTTTTATAACAAATATATTACTCGAACAGGTGCCGCTATTAAAAAAGTTAAATATGATCGACTGGTTTACAAATGAATCTCGGGTTAGGATTCCAAGCGACCAAGATATTATTAATATTTGTCGAGAATGCATGAAGAATTATGATAAACGAAATCCAAGTAAAAAATTTTATGTATTTATATTTGAATAAATGCCTTCGTTTGAACGAAAATGGATCTTGCCAAAGAATAGGAATTGAAGTTTTATACAATTTTTTAAAAACTAATTTTCGCCAAAAAAATAATTAGAAATGAATGAAGGCTTTGTTTGAATGAAAATGGATAATAGGAATTGAAAATTTACACAATTTTTTAAAAACAAATTTTCGTCGAAAAATAATTAGATCTTGCCAAAGAAAGGAATTGAAATTTTAGACAATTTTTCAAACCCGAATTTTCGTCGAAAAATAATTAGAACAAAAATGGATCGTGCCAAAGAATAGGATTGAAATTTTACGACTTAGTGAATCTTATTATATAACTTAACCGGATCGGCCGAAAAGTTATTCGGCAAATTTTTACAGGTGTCCTTGTAATTATGATAATAGCTGTAAATGCAAAAATTAAAAAATTTGCAGACTGGTAATCCTATCCCGCGCGGGATTTTTGAAAAAACCGCGATTTGCCCATCTCTACCAATATGTCCAATAATGATTATATGTTGACTTATTGTCCAATACTTTTTGGTCCAATGGATTGGACTGGACTGGACAAGTATGGTCCCAATTGTCCAGCCCAACACTGGGCTCGTTAGTTGGAATTACACGTATTAATTGACGCGTGTATCTCGTATGGTCAATAAAGTCACAGGATCAGGTGTAACGTGAAAATTTAAAACAGATGACTTGTTGTCTGTATCTCAAAATCTCGTCTATGAAAATGCTCTCTAATTCCTAACAAAAAAAAATTCCTTGCAAAACTTTATTACAGGCATGTTTGTTACCATCCCTTCGCAATTATATCATACTCTAACTAAATTGAACTCACTATTACTGATAACACGTAAGAAATATATGCACGTGAACTTACGTGTGCCTGCTGAATTGTATTATTAATAGATATTTTTTAATCACGATGAATGCGAAAAAACTGTTCTAAAGAATATTACTATATGTTCTTGGTGTCATTATTTAGACATGGCAAAAAACGGTTTAATAATATCCGAATAATTTTTGGCTAGTTGGGATTTTAAGATTGCTACTCTACAGTAATTAATTTTTTATAATAGCTTAAGCTTTTATTGTAAATTATTAATAATACGAATAATGGGAAGATTTAAGAAGATTTAACTCAGTGATCATCACAATATCACATGGCTGTCATTCTGCCCAGGTTAGGGTTTGGTTAGGGTTAGGTTAGAATTAGTTTGGGAGCATAGTTTAGGCTAGCTTTTAATTCTGGTAAACAAATAACGTAATATCAAATGATAGTCGCTCACTGGGTTAAAGTGTCACGAATAATTATTTACTACGTATCTATTATTACATGATATAATAGGCCTTATAACCGGAAATTCTCTTATTGCTATGATTATTATTATCAACAACAATTCCTCTTTTCTCTCAATTGGACCTATGCGTTCGGCGAATCTAACGAATCTGGTAAATTTTGAATTTCCGAGTTCACATGTCACATGCCTGACACAGGTCAGGGACACGGAATTTATGTGATAAGAATTTGTAAATTATGCGCGCGGTATGTGTAATATATGCGATTTGCTGATGATTAAATTTAAAAGTGCGATTTAGTGCTTTTGCAAATTTTGCTCGTAAAAAAAACTGTAATTTTTTAAATACTGCGCTCAACTAGCAAGTTTTTTAATCGGAGAATATAAGTAGATGTAAAATTATTCGATTTATTGCGATTTGGTTTAATTACACTAAATCACACAATTTCCGTGTCCCTGACACAAGTCCTCTCACAACGTTTCACAACTTTCTTGTAATATATAACTGATAAATAATACATTACGTACCTACGTACAATACATACGTACGTATACAGTATAAGATTTTTTTCAACATGATAACATTACCGTATGAATGCTACTATGAAATATTTAACAACCTCCAGCATATTCAAAAATACCTATTTTCATGTGCACTTGTAAGCCGTCAATGGTGCAGAATTATTATACCAATTTTGTGGAGTGAACCGAAATATCATTTTAAAGATTTAAGACTTATAAGAATACTTCTTTTAATGTTAAATGCAGAGGAGCAATCTCTATTAATTCCTTTTAAAATTACCCTTCCAAGTCACCCAAAACCACTATTTGAATATACAAGTTATATCACATCGGTTAGCAGTGATTTATATAGAAATTGGCATCCTTATGAAATAGGATATGAGCCTTAAGTGCTCTTTGATCGCAATGCTTCTACGTACTAGTAAAAATCTTAAACATTTAAGTCTTAATGAACTTATTTGCAATCAAATAATATTTGAAATTCTTTATGAAAACATTACTATTACTTCTATTGATTTATATAATATCAGTGATGATTTTAAATCTAAGGCAATAGATGTATTGGTAAATATCCTTTATAGGAGTTATACTTTGACTTCCTTAAATCTTGGATCTAGTCAAATTAGATCTGAATAAGTGAAAACATTATCAAAGGCGCTTTATAAAAACACTGTCATAAATTCTTTAAATCTTAGTTATAATCAGATTGATGTTGAAGGGGGGAATGAGCTAGCAAAAATTCTTTGCAAGAACAATACCTTAAAATATTTGAATCTTGGCTTTAATAATCTTAGATCAGAAGGAGGAAAAGCGTTAGCTGATTCACTTTGCAAAAACACTGCACTGACTTTTTTGGATCTTCGTAGAAATAATCTTGAACCTGAAGGGTGAAAGGCATTAGCCGCTGCACTTTTAAAGAACATTACGCTGACTACACTGAATCTTAGTCATAATAATCTTAGATTAGAGGGAGGAAAAGCATTAGCAGATGCACTTTGTAAGAACACTACGTTAAAAGATTTAAATCTTAGCTATAATTATATTAGATCAGAAGGAAGAAAAGAATTGACAGACGCACTTTGCAAAAACATTTCGTTGACTTCTTTGAATCTCACTGGCAACGAACTTGGATCAGAAGTAGGAAAAGTATTAGCTGATGCACTTTGCAAGAACTCCACGCTGACTTCTTTGAATCTTGATTATAATAATCTTGGATCAGAAGGAGGAATAGCACTAGCATTTGCATTTGGCACGAACACCTCGTTGGCTTCTTTGAATCTTCGAAAAAATCATCTCGGATCAGAAGGAGGAATAGCATTAGCATTTGCACTTTGCACGAACACCTCGCTAACCTTTTTGGATCTTCGAAATAATCATCTCGAATCAGAAGGAGGAATAGCATTAGCACTTACACTTTGCACGAACTCCTCGCTAGCCTTTTTGGATCTTCGATTTAATAATCTTGGATTAGACGGAGGATACACAATAGTAGATGCGCTTTGCAAGAATACCACACTAAAAAATTTGGATCTTCGAGGTAATAATATTAGGGGATACGCATTAGTAGAAGCACTTTGCAAGAACAACACACTAAAAAGTTTATATCTTCGAGATAATAACCTTGGAAGAGGAGAAGCATTAAAAGATCCACTTTGCAAGAATGCTGCATTGACTCATTTGGATCTTCATTCGAATGAACTTGAATCAAAAGATGCAAAAGTATTAGCAGATGCACTTTGCAAGATCACTACGCTCACTTCTTTGGATCTTGGTGATAAT